ATATTTCAAACACTCACAAAAATACTTAATGTTTACTACCAATCTTGATAAATAATGCAACCTGAAGTCTTGATTATGGTATCCCTAAACAGAGCACCTTCCAGCTGTTCAGCTCAGTTCTCATAAACAGCCTAAGTTAGTAACTAATTGCATCTCAAGTCTATACAGTTTTCTTGTTATAACAATGCACTAGGGCAAAAAATGGCAGTAACTAGGAAGCTTTAAAACTGGGACTTATTCCATACATCAAAGGAAGCACAAGCAAATTACCATGACAACTTTTAAAACAAGAACCTGTTACATCTAAGGTCTGTATTAATATCCACGCACTGAGTACTCTTTCTGTAAAAAAGGAAGTAAGTACACATTTTTAAATAACTATTCAAATGAAGATACACAACTACTGAGCTTAACAATGTTCAGTAATATCATTCAACAGAGCGGACTTTCTTCCCTGTCTCTATATTCTTTATCACATGACACTCAGAACAAATCCTACTCACAAGAGTATGATGGCTGCACTGTTTACCTTCCTAATGGCAAAGTCCTGTCAAAGGTACTTATATTTCAAATATTAACAGTTAAAAGGTGCCAAGTTATTATAATTCTCTTTCATGCTGGGCATCCACATCAGGAAACTTGCTTATAATCATTGTGACTGAAGTTGTGCATTGCCACTAGAAATCAGACTCCTGACTACAGAGGGGCAGGAAATGTGGCCTTTGCAGCTTCATGAGACACTGCACTAAGTATGTACCACATATTTTGGAAGTGACAGAATTTTCCATTTAGCTGCAATGCCAAACTGTCAATTTTGTTTCAAAGCACAGCATGACACGTCCCAAGCAAAACAGAAACCAATCTGCAAGGTAAAGGAAATGTTACAGCTACTAGACTATTTAATGAGGTTTAAATGAGAAATTATTACTTGGAGGTTTAAGTAAATAAACAATATGTATGGAAGCATATAGCACATAGCATACAAATAATAAGGACTGAAATATAACCAAGCATATTTCTGATAAGGTGCACATGCTTCTGATGTGTTCCATGGAATAAGGGTGAAATATGAATCTTTTCAGCATGCATGAACACAGAGGGCCAGACAGAGTAGTCGCACCAATTTAGAACAGATGAGGATCTGGCCCTCATTTGATCATGCCACATTACTGAAAAAAATCAGATTTAGTTCTTGCCAAGTATCTACATTTCTAAGAAGCATCAGTAATGGGCACTTATGGCCAGTGAAAAATGAAATTGAGTGGGAGAATGAAAATAGGCGGTGGGAATGTTTTTAAAAAGGCATATACCATTGAATAAATACCACAGAAAATGGGTAGATGGGGTGTGACACCTACAAATTTTGTTGGAGATGTCAAAATTATGTCAGTAATGTTATCGACATGCTTTGGGATTGTAAAGTCACAAAAGAATATTTGGAAAAGGTGATGGGGACTTTACGGCTAATCCTACTGTACATTAAATGATACTTCTGATCTGAAGAACTTTTAACTGAGGAAGGCAATCTGGATGCAAGTTGGATTAAGATGTCAGATAGAATAATTAAGAGTCTGAAAATACAGTGCACCACCAACTCAAGTAGAATGTCTGATGGCTAACCTACCTTACTCATGGCATTTCTTGAAGGAGCTATTTTGAAAATATACAATAGGGGATATTTAAGCTATGTCTGCACTTGGAGTTGGAGGTTGAGTCCCAGCTTGTGTAGATATGCTCATGTTAGCTCTCCTCAAGCCAGCACACTAAAAATAGTAGTGTAGCTGCAGTAGCACAGGCAGAGGTGATAGGCAGGACATGCTAGCCGACCTGAGTATAAACCTGACCAGACCCTGTGGGTACGTACTGAGGGTGGCTAGTCCATGCCGTCACGCACTGCTGCCAATGCTACTATGGCTACAGTACTATTTTTAGCACACAAGTTTGATGAGAGCTAGCACGAGTATGTCTACTCAAGCTGGGAATCACATCCCCAGCTGCAAATGCAGACACAGCCTTAGTACATACGGAAACTATTTTTGGGTTACATCAATAAATTTGGAATTAATACATGAAAATATGCAATACTGTATTCATTGGAATGATTATTATATAGTGAAGATACCTCCCACCTTCAAGTCACATTTTATTTTGTTCTGCATTATAGGATTTGATTTTGTTCTTTGTGTGGGCTTAGAGAGTGAGATAATAACTGGGTTGTGAGGTATCTGGGGGATGACTAATAAATCTCTCTTAGTTGTATGCTCTATTTGTTGTTAACAACCTTGGCAAAAACTCAATATTGAAAAAGAGCTGAAACAATCAAACATGTCAATCCTGAAAACACTTTTTTTTTTCTTGAGGAAGAAAACAAACAAGCGCGCACACACACTCACTTATCTACTGAAAAAAATATTCTGCACTTATTTTCAGTAACATTCTACTAAATAAGAGATACCATTTGCCTCTCTTGGTTTCACACAGTCATTTCAAGCAGCTGCCAATCCATATTCAGTTTGTGTGTATTCCTGACTGGTTGTGTAAGGACAGCACTCTGCTGCTAGATGAGAGACACAATGACATTCGTGGATTTGGCCACTTGCCTCTTGTGTCTCTGAAAGCTGGGAATGTTGTGTGAATGGTTAGAAGGTGAGTCATATTTCACCTTTAATAGTGACATCTGCTTACTCTTCTAGGGTCAGCACAGACATGATCCAAAGCAAGCTCTGTCTATCACTTCTGGATGAAAAATAATGCAGCAGCAGGCCAATGTGCAGGGAGGTACAAGACTTAGATTTCCCACTGACTAAAGCTGTTTTCAGGGAGATAAGGGGATGATCAGTCCCCAACTGCCTCAGACTGAATATTGCATTACTGACACTCTGTGCAATGGCATGGACCCCACTCTGTGGGTATTAACTTAAACTGCAACAATGTGGGTTTGGGGCAATTTCGTGCTGGGTAATGGTGCTGGGAAAAGGGCCATTTCCATGTGTCTGTGATGATATTCTCAGTCAGTTCATTGCTTACACCCAGCTGCAATATTAAAAATAATTCACCTTCATTTAAGGGTTCTATCATCCTAAACAGTCAAGAGAATACATTGTTATCAGGGAAAAGGCACCTAAATCTGTATATAAAAATTATACAAAAAGAAACATTCCTATCAAAATAATAGCCCACCTTAATTGATTTGTCTCATTAGAGTTGGTATGGCAACCCCCATCTTTTCATGTTTTCTGTGTATATATATATATATATCTTTATCTTCCTACTTCATCCATCTATCTATCTATCTGTCTCTATATCTACATATCTTCCTACTGCATTTTCCACTCCATGCATCTGATGAAGTGGGTTTTAGCCCAAGAAAGATTATGCCCAAATAAATTTGTTAGTCTCTAAGGTGCCACAAGTACCCCTCGTTCTTTTTATCAAAATAAAGATCAACTTCGGTCAAATGCTCTGACTCATGTGTTTCAATGCACAAGTGATCAAAAGTGGCAAATACTACTAATGTTGAAAAAATATATGAATATGATATACCATAAAAGGGATAGGTTCTCAGCTGGTATAAATCTGTATAGATCCTTTAAATCAAGTGAACTATGTAGATTTGTATCAGCTGAGATCTGACCCCTTCTATATGAATAACAACACTTTTCTCTCTGATCTGGTTGAGAGAGAAAATCTGATATCTTTTTTGATTCTAATAATTTAAGTAAGCAAGATGAGTAAGCACCCTACAGACACAACAGTGCTGCCATTTAAATGCCATCAGCATTTTTATCCTCTTACAACAGTTTTACATTGGTGTAATTACATTCAAGTCAATGGAGTTATTCCTGATGTACATCAGTGTAAGCAAGAGGAGAATCATGCCATAGAGGATGACTGCTTAAATACCCTTCCCATTTAAGATTTTAACATGTTGTAAACACCATTGCAAAAATTATGGCCCAGATCTTTAGCTTTGGATGAAAATCATGTGAGTAGTTGGAATATAAAAAAAAGGTGGCTTTAAGCCACCTTTCCACTATCCCAGTCCTTGGATATCTGTGTGCAAGTCCAATCCTCCAGCATAAATTAGAGAAGCCTGATGACTAACAGACCCCAGGGTCATCCAGGGATAACTGGAGTACAGAGAATCCCCGATACATCCCGCTTTCCCTGGAAAATACTCCCTACAGTGGCTACAGGGAGGAAAGTGGTGGACAAGCCATTATGTTGTCTCTGAGCCACCACAGAATCCCCATATACTGGGAGAGGAAGCTCCTGTGGTTATGCTTTAGAGTCTCTTGACAACAATGGTGAAATGCAAAGCAGCGACACTATAATTGAAACTCAGACACAGGTATCGAGAGCACCCGCAGTGCTTGTCCTCACCAAAAGCCATTAGCTAACTTCAGGTTGTCTTCAACAATATATGATGTTAAAGGAAAACAAGCATCTTCAGAAACAGATATATGAACAAGCAGAACAAGAGATGGACAAAATACACATAGTTGATCAAATAAAAGTGCTTCTATTAAAGCACAAAAAGGATGAAAAGCTGCTGAGCTATTTCTCAGAATTAAATACCTAATCTGATGAGTGGAGAGTAATGAGACAGTTGACAAGACCGAATGAAATGCATTTCCATTTCCTAACCCAAAACTGCTCAGCTTACTTATGGTAAAATGGCTGTAACATAAAAAGCTTGGTGATGATAGGACTGTCATCTCACAAATAAAAGTCCTGCAAACTGCTGAGACACTGATGAACAAAACAATGGCAGTAATGGAGAAAACAAGCGCCAAAGCCTGTCAGTAATCATCCAATCAAACGCACACTGCATGTACAGTAATTACGATGAGAGCATGCTTTTTCAAATTGAAGTTCATGCTTTGGTGTTTATGTAAACAGGCTTTGAATTTCATTTTCAGCACCCACATTGTTCATGATCATTCTCCGAGGCTGAGATTTTGGTGGATGATGAGTGGAAAGAGAAAAGCATATTGTACCTGCATCCCTGGTTTGATATCATCAGTCCGTGACCAAGAAACCAGGAAATCTGACGACTCTCCCATTAGACATCCTAATGTAGTACACAGAAATCTTATTTAAAAACAAGCATCATTTGTGTTTATTCAAAAATGTAGGCACATTTATGGAAACAGGGCTGCCATTCGGTCACATTTATGTATGTGTTCAGGAACAAAATATTGCATTTTTTTTATATGTTTGAATACACATGCAGAAAAGTAGCAAAATGAGGTCAAATGTGTAGGTATGCTTGATGGGGTTTTCTTTAACTTCCATGAAAGGTCATCATAACTATTCATGGAAATATTATAACTTGTATACATTAGCATACAGTAGAGGGTAAAACTGATATAATTTGACTAATATAATACAAGAACAATGAGCAATGTTGTGAGCATGAGGATATCTTTATTTTCTTAAGAAACCACAACCAATACAAAAATGTATATAAAACACACTAATTACAGATGTCAGCTCTGATTAGTCACTCATTGTTTTTTGATCAGTTTAGACTGTTTACTGGGTGGTCATTCATGAGCTGGCTTTGCACCTGCACAGAGGAATAAAGAGCCCCCTTACTCACCTGCACAGCTATATGCATTGCCAAACCCTGCAAAAGGGTGGAAGGAAAGCGGAGAATGGCAGACTGCTTCTTCCTCTCTCTGGATGGGGAGTGGACAGTGACAGAAAGACAGTGAATGGAGCCTTGGCTCCACCCCATAAATGCAATTGTGGTAGTATACTGGTCTAGCAAAAGAGCTGGTACAGATTAATTCCCTCACCAAAGGAGAAGCTGGCACCCAATTGTGACTCTCCGAGTCACAGTCTAATACCTATCCCTGCTCCTGGGGCAGTGTAACTATGCACTGTCCCTTACTTGGGCTGGATTGAAAGATGATAATCCAGCCCACTGTTAGGCCATGTCTGTTAGGCTGGCGGGTAGTGATCGATCTATCGCGTCTAGCGTAGACGCGATAAATCGATCCCCAATCGCTCTGCCGTCAACTCCAGAACTCCACCACGGCGAGAGTTGGAAGTGGAGTCGATGGGGGAGCGGCGGCCGTCGATCTCGCGCCGCGAAGATGCGAAGTAAGTGATTCTAAGTCGATCTAAGATACATCGACTTCAGCTTCACTATTCTCGTAGCTGAAGTTGCGTATCTTAGATCGATTCCCCCCGCAGTGTAGACCAGGCTTTAGTAAAATGACCATAGTTGATGAGACATTAGGGCTTTTGCTGTGAACATACCCATCCTTGCTATGTTACTTAACACATGCATGACTTGACAAAATATCATCAAAATGCAATCTCCAATTTCCACCATACTCCTGGGGACATAGACAAAATAATTTAAAAATCAAAACCAAGTGATTAAAAGCACAAAAAACCCAACCCAACTCAACCAAAAACAGGAAAAACACTTTCAATTTCACCCACTCCTCCAAGCTTGAGTCCTTTGCTTCCCTCAATCAGCAGTTTCTTTCTCTACGGAGGACTCGACCCAAAAAAGCTTGTCCCACCAAAAGTCACTAAAGTCCAATACAAGATGTCTTAAGTAGCACAAAATTGTTGCTTATTAACTATAGTAAATGGTTCTTTAATCTACGCTCCGGGAATGATGCTCTCCTTGGTGTGTGTAACTTTAGGATGTTGCCAATGTATTAGGAACATTGTATTTAGAGCCGGGCAAATAAAAGATTTTTCAAAATGAAAGGTTTCCGATCAGTTCAACAAGCCAAAATGAAATGTTTGGATTTTGGAACATCAAAATATTTTGGTTGGATTGAAAATGCTGAAATGAAATATTTTGTCATTTCTGAATTGAAATATTTTGGAACTTTTTGTTCTATAAAAAATTGGAAGAAAACATGTTGAAATACCAAAATTTCCTGCTGGATGGAATTTCTGATTTTCACTCCATTTTACTTATCACAGTAGAGGTCACAAACATGCAACATTGTTTGTACAGAAAAGAAGTAATAGTAATAAAACAAACAAAAAATCCAGAGTGGGATGTCTCAGAAAATGGCAGGTGTGAAATCTCTTTAAATGTTAAAATAATGGGTACAAGATTCTCCTACTTTCATACTGTGAAATGCCACACAGGTCTTTGGGGGTTGGGGGGGGGGGGGGGGACTATTTTTCCAGTGACTTCATTTAAAAATTCCAGATATCTGACTTTCCTTTTAAAAAAATAATTAAAAAGTTGAGGTGATTTTCTGCACATGTTGCCTTCCTCCCCTCCCCTCAAAAGAAGTAGTCATGCCAGAACTAATAGGGAAATAAAGTAATTCAAAAATTATGTTCAGAGTTGCACATTTCAGGAGTCTATACAGAGGGAGGGCAGGAAGCCCCACAAGCTGAAGGGCAGGAGAGGGAAGTAGTCCAGGGGAAGGAACCACTAGTTCAAGCAGTTTACTGCTATCCCTGGGGCTCTTGGGCTGGGACCCAGAGTAGAGGGCAGGCCCAGGTCTTTCCCTCTCCCCTCCCCTCCCCTAGGACACTAGTGGGGCAGTTAATACACCAGTTCTGGGGCGAGAAATGGTGCCCTGAACCCTCCCCAAAAAGAGAAAGTGCGAGACCCATCAAAGTAGGGCTGGCAATTTGCCACACGCACATTAAAGAAACTAGTTAAAAATCTATCAGTTGCTTGATTTTTGAAGCAGCCATTCAACATAGAACCATTTTTGTTGCACTTCTTTTTTTTATATATTAAAAATACCCTGAGAAATTGCTAACAGTTAATTACAGCTTAAGTAGTTTCACTAAGGTGACATTCATTGTGAGAGAGTATTGCAATCAGGCCTTAAATGAACACAGAACTTTCATATTTGACAACCTAGTAACCTTTTAAATACCTTACAACTTTCTCCCTTGTTTTACATTGTCAACAACTTTTGGAACCTCAGACCTCATCCAGAACGGTTCAGAATGAACAAAAACATGACCTTCCCTCTGAGCTTGTCAATGTTGTGTCTTATGTACGAATCAGGGAGTTATTGGATAGGTTGCGTGTGATAATTTCATAGAATGAAGAGGCTTAGAGAAATGGGGGTTTTGGTGTAAACACTAATGTATAAAGGAAAAGGGAATATTGATGGTTTTCAGCTATCATGGTGATAAGGGCCATATAGAATAGATAAGACAGTAATGGGAATTATTCTTCCAAAAAACTTGATTTAAAAACTCAATGGGAAATGGAAAACTGTAAGGATCTGGGGATGAGAAAGTCGGGCAGCTGATGTTCCTACAGAGCTAACGGGAGGCCATGCAGGGGCACAGCCAGGGAGCACTGTGGAAAGTAGGCACCACAGGAAGTACTGCCCAAGAAACCTAGAGTGACAGCACACTGCGGTCCTCTGGTTGGCCAAGCTCCCAGGAAGTTGTCTGGGCAACCACACAGACTTTGGCCTGCTGCAATGACAGACTTTGCTTGATCTCCTGATCTCTGGTTTCTGATCCAAGCCTGATTCTGACCCTGACTCATGTCTCCCAGTTCCAGCCTGGTACTATTTCTGATCTCTGACCCCAGCTTGATTCTGACCCTGACTCTTTCTTATGGGACCTAGCTCTTCTGATTCCTGCAACTCCTGCTCAGTGACTACAGTCCCTGCTGTGCAGACCTCAGTCCAGCTGTGATCACTAGGCCAGACCACCTATACCCCTGTTCCTGACAAAAACAACAAATCAAAAAACTTACAATAAGTCTTGGGGCACAACCACTGTATGTGGAGATTTAAATGACCAAACATTTTAATGTTTCCTGTATATACATTTTCATGAAATGCTTTTAGAAAAAAAACTAATGAAAAATGCATAAAACTAACAATAGATTCATTTATATAGATTTTCAAAGCTTTCAGGAATAGGAGCAAAGATACTGCATAAGATTAAGGAACCTACACACTATAATTTAATAACACTTTGAATAATGTGGATCTTCTGTATACTACTGTACATATTTCTGGTATCCTTTATTTTGACTTCCAGCTTTACAAGGCTTTAGTTCACTAATCTGCAAGTCCTAATTATAGATTCAGAAAAAAAATGGCAAGGTGTTTCATCCAGCTGCTGGCAGACAGTGAAACACAACTGAATGTTCCAATTCATATGCTGTAACATTTGATATCAATTGCATTGTTCAGGGACTAAAAGTAAATAGAAAAAGGAATTCTGCACTTAGTTGCTGTGAGTATGAACAAACAATGGAAATTCCAAAATGATGAATGCCCTGCGATTCTTTTTACATTCTTTAATTTGCAGAAAGCTACAGAAGCACAAAGGATTCGTCTAACGGAGGACTAAGCAGGATAATTCAAACAGCTCTAAGTACTTGAATATTCTCTGAATATTTGTAATGAGCTGCCAACTAGCATTCCTTCTACTTTGTAAAGTCTGGGAATTTGTGTAGCTGAAATCATGTGAGTGTGACATTGTCACTTTCTTAGAATTAAAACTTTTAACCTCCATGGGTTTAACTGGCACCAATATCAGCCTTGTTAGCACTGATAAGTGCTTTGCAGTATATTGAAAGAGGAGGGGAGCTCTCGCCTCACTAGCCCAGGAAATAGGGAGCCATGGGAGAGCCTTGCTTCTCCAAGGCAAGGAGAGGAGGGGGAGCTCCCTGCTGCTTTGATCAGAGGAAGTGGAGCCATGATCTCTGTCATAAATATAAAGGGAAGGGTAAACCCCTTTGAAATCCCTCCTGGCCAGGGGAAAGCTCCTCTCACCTGTAAAGGGTTAAGAAGCTAAAGGTAACCTCGCTGGCACCTGACCAAAATGACCAATGAGGAGACAAGATACTTTCAAAAGCTGGGAGGAGGGAGAGAAACAAAGGGTCTGTGTCTGTCTGTATGCTGCTCTTGCCAGGGACAGAACAGGAATGGAGTCTTAGAACTTTTAGTAAGTAATCTAGCTAGGTATGTGTTAGATTATGATTTCTTTAAATGGCTGAGAAAAGCATTGTGCTGAACAGAATAACTATTTCTGTCTGTGTATCTTTTTTGTAACTTAAGGTTTTGCCTAGAGGGGTTCTCTGTTTTTGAATCTAAT